TTAGGGAAAAAACACAGACAAATGCGACGTGGAAAGTAAGTACTCCCATCCTTCCTAGGGGCCACAGTCAGCCTTTAGAAAGCAATTTTTTCCTTGGCTTTTCTACTCTTAGAGCCGTGGTCCTGGGTTTGAATCCCAGCTCTGCCACTTGCTGGCTGTGAGACCTGGAGAGCCATGTTACCACTTGGGACCTCTGTTTTCTCATTTGTAAGATGGAGAAATAATAGACCCACCCCTTTAGGTTGTTGGGAGGAGTAAATGTGAGAAGATACACAGAGCTTAGCTTTGTTTCAGGCACACAGTAAATGATCCACCAACGGTACCTATTTTATAGGTGGAATATATATCATTTTTATACATTATTACATAGCTCACTGTACCCCAATTGCTTGAGTAACATTATTTTTTAGTCATTGCTAATCTGACAACCCATTCTTTAATTTGCATTTTAAAAAAGTTCACCCACTATTTTCCTAACATGGGTTTTATTCGCTACACTGCCGAATGTTTCATCTACGCCAAGCATGGGCTAAGGGCTCTCCACCAAATATTTTAATCACACTCCTGGTGTATACCCAGACTTGACCAGATATTCATACACCCGTGTTCATGGCAACATTACGCACAGTAGCCAAAAGGCAGAACAACCCGTGTCCCATCAGCAGATGGGTAGGTAAACAAATGTGGTCTCCCTGTACACGGGAACACCATTCGTCCTTACACTGGAAGGGAATTCTGACCCAGGCTGCAACATGAATGAGCTCTGGGGACATGATGCAAAGTGAAGGAGGCCAGTCATAAAAGGACAATTATAGTATGATTCCTCCTCTATGAGGTCCTTAGAGCAGTCAAAGTCCTAGAGACAGAAAGTAGAATGGCGGGTGGTGGGGGTGCCTGGGGGGCGGAGTCAGTTATGCATCCCACTCTTGGTTTTGGCTCAGGTTGTGATCTCAGAGTCATGAGATCGAGAGCCCCCTTCCAGCCCCTGGCCCCAAGTTCTGCACTGGGCAGGGAGCCTGCCTCTGATTCTCTCTCTCTGTCCCTCTGCCTCTCCCCAAGCTTGCGTGCCTAAGCTCGCTCTCTCCCCTCTCTCTAACAAGCAAACAAATAAATAAATCTTAAGAAGGAAGGGAGGGAGGGAAGGAAGGAGGAGGAAGGGAGGGAAGGAAGGAGGAGGAAGGGAGGGAGGGAGGAGAATAATGGTGGGAGCCAGTGCTTGGGGGAGAGGGATCGAGGAGTTAGTGTTTAATGGGGACAGAGTTTCAGTTGGAGGAGATGAAGATGTTCTGGAGGTGGATGGTGGTGATGGTTGAACAGCAACGTGAATGTGCTTAATGCCCTGAACCGTACACTTAAAAATGGGTAAGGTGGGAAATTTTATGTTATGTATATTTTCCTAGAACAAAAAGTCTTAATCAATCTTCCTAACATCCTGTAAGGTAGATGTTTTTATTACCAATGCCCCCCCTCCTCCATTCTTTAAAAGATAGTGAAAGGAAGGCTCAGAGAGGTTAAACACATTCCTAGAGTCACACAGCTTATAAGCAGAAGAGCCAGGCCTAGGTGGAATTCTGTGGACACAGGAGTCAGAGGGAAACCAATCCAACTCAAGGTGGCAGGAAAAGTTAACCATGACCGACGGGCCCTCAAGGTTCAGAGTTCAGTTCTAAATTTATTCTCTGACCTTCTTGTGGCTTCTAAATTTGGCCAAACAAGTTCTTCCAGCCTAATCGATGACGTGAGTACATTGTTTTGAAGATGAAGCCTCTTTCCTGGTATGAAAGTAATAAAATAATGCAGATTTGTTTGGAGAAGTCACCCTACCTCCTGTCCGTGGCACTCCTAGGGTGACCCGGGACTCACTGATAGCAGAGACATGTCACAGAGCCTGAGTCTGAATTTCTCCTCCTGAAAGAAGCAGAAACAGAGCCTCAGGAAACAGTGAGGCAAAGAAATTCTAACCAGAACCAAACTTAAAGTTTTCTTGAAGTTATTAATTAAGAACAAAATTAGAGTGCTTGGATCATCTCCAATTCAGGGAGGAATTTGCTGGGGCTGAGTTGCCACTTCTCTGGAAGGTATCAGGATGGCTGACTGGTCCAGGACCCCTTCTCGGACATCCTGCCTCTACTGAGGTGGGACAGACATGTGCCCCTTGTGGTCTAGCCACCACTATCTGAACAAGCCTGGGACACTGGACCCCGGAGAAATGATTCACTCACTGGCCAGAAACATAAAACTTCTGGTGCCTGGCCAGGAAGGATGAACCTGGACATCAGATTCCCTCCTGCAGGAATGTAAACCAAGAGACATGGAAGAGCACTCCAGTTGGTGTAGATACTTGAGCTGAAAGGTTAGGGATATTTGGAATGGGGTGGCCATTCTGGGGGCATAAGCACACAGATGTATGTAGAAAAGGGGTAGGTGTTGTGGCACTCTGGCTCCCAGAGTGTTGAGTGGCTGGATCAAACTTTACCTGAAACCCACATTACCACTGACTTTTCCATTACATGAGCCAACAAAATCTTTGTTCAAATTACTTTTGTTAAGGTTTTCTGAACTTTTATTTTTTATGACCAAAAGGAGCAGCTCTATAACCTCTCAAGGTGTCCTATTTTTACCTGAAATTGTCAGAGTAGATTTAAGACACAGAACCCAACAGACCACACCAAAGCAGAACCAGGCAGGCAGAAGCACTTTGGCAGAGTTTAGGACTCAGAGCAGTGTCCCTGCACGTCCCGAGTGACGAGTTCCCCTTCTCTGGTCTGAAACACTCCAAGGAGGGGCCGGGAGGTTAGAACTTGGCTGCAGGGACATGCTGTCCTCAAGACAACCCCTTCTCAGCCTCAGAGCTACTGTTATCAGAATCTCTCTGAAGGTCCTGGACAAAGGGTGAAGCCAGGAACTCCTGAGGCTGAGGGCAGGTCAGGGGCCTGGGAGAGTGGGCTGGGTCTGGGGCTGGGGCAGAAATATGTCTTCCGTTTCCCTTGGGCCCCCACAGTACAGCTGTTGTCCACAGTGAGGTTAGCCAATAATAGGGACAAGTAGCCTTCACTGGATAGGCAGTGACCCAGGACTAAAGGCGCTGCTGGGGATAAGATGGGTCTCTTTGAGGCAAACGGGCTTAGCAGCCAGTGGTGGCCCTGGGATCCACGCTGGCGTCTGATGGCTCCGCATGCGGTACCATTTCCAGTTCACCGCAGTGAAGCTCTGAGACTGTGGCCACATCTGTCCGCACATTTCCCTTGCAGCTGGTTCTGCAATCAGCAGCCGCTCCACGGCCTCCCCAGGGGCTCCGGGGAGCTGACTGCTGATGAGGGAGAGGATTAGCCACAACCTTGACTCTCCTTCCGGCCTCTGCCAGACCCACCAGAGGCGTGGGTGTGTCCGGCCTACCTGGGAACATCTGCTTCTGTCGTCAGACAGGCTGCCCTGATGAGGACCAGACCCCCCAGAGAAGGAGCAAGCCAGAGAAATTAAAGATGAATTTCCAACCATAATTGGCCCCATCTGTGAAACTGGGGGCTTCCCAAGGGCCAGGCAGGCGCTGGGCTCGGGTTTAAGCCCGGGTAGGGGACATCATGGGTGCTGTCACAATCACGGCGCCCCCACCCTGGGGGAGCGGGGGTGAAACGGCTGTAGGCATCGGGACCAGCACCTGTGGCGGGTTCTCCATCCAGGCTCCTCCTCTCAGGGGCCCTTCCACTTCCACTGTTCGGTTCTTACTGGTTTTCACGGGCCCCCAGACGAGTCAGTGGCACCAGATTGGCGTCCTGTCCTCCTTGCTCACTGGCTGTGTAACGTGGGGGGATGTTGATTCATTTTGAACCTCTGTTTTCCCACCTGCACACTAGGGGCTTGTCATAGCCCAGAAGTTTCCAGACTGTGGACTGCACCCATCTGCGGGCCATGAGCTCAGCAGGGAGAGTCGTGAACAGGCATTTACTTCTGCTCTTCAGCCTCGGTGGTGACATTCTCCCAAGTGCACACCCCACCCTTTCCGGGAATGATATGAGGGCAGGGATCCCACGGGCTTCTCCGTTCCCACCCAGCACCTTGCACGGAGCGAGCTGCTGTGGGGAGTGATGTGCTTAATGGCTCTCCAGTGACTCGAATACTCTATTCTGTTCCCTTTCATGACAGTTGCTCGCCCAAGGAGTGCAGCTCTCAAAACTGGGCTCAGGCAGACCTGACCTCAAGCCTGGATCTGCCCTTACTCAAGCGTGGCCATGGGGAGCTCTGTCCCCTCCCTCCAAGCCTCTGGTTCCATGTCTGTTCCCAGGCAATAACTCCACCTATTCTATAGGATTGTCTTGTGAATCTGAATTAACTGATGCAAAGCTCTAGGCTTTGTGAGAGGTGCACGGCGAGCCCCATGTCGGCCCACTACAACCATTAAGTCCATATATCACATATGTCACGATAGACTCCTTGGGGTCAGGACACCCCTACCTTCCTCCAGTCAAATCGTCAGCTGGTCTGGGGGGCACCTCTGGCGAGTAATAGCAATGTCGGGGCTTTCTCTCTACTTTCTGGCTTTCCTAAACTGGTTGCCAGCCATGTGTCCCCGCCCAAGACAACCCTGCCCCCACCCCCAAAGGGAGTAACTTCAGCATCACCCCCACTGGAGAACGTCAGCCTAGTAGAGCACGTTACCCGGGTTTACTGCATTTAAGGTGGGGCCTCCAAAAGCCCACTAAGATGTCTGTGGATGGACCAGTGGGTCCCCCAACTTACCCTGCCCGGCTCCCCCGTGCTGCACTCAGCTCCAGACAGCACGCGGCGAGAGAGGTCAGCGGCTAAGTTCTCTGCCTTTCCCTGAATTCAGGTCTGTTTGTTTTCCCTGTGCAGCAGCTGTGCAGAGTGGAAATCTCCACTAAGGGACAGACCTCCCCTCTAGGCTAGAATCAGGAGAATGACACAGGAGAGGAGGCTGCCCGAGCATTAGGAGGGCCGGTCACTGAGTTCCCACATGACACTGGGCGAACCAAACCTCAGACCTTCTGTTTTCTTGTCTCCATGGGCTGAGAAGAGAAATTGCAGATCAATCTTGGCTCATGTTCTAACACCAACTGGTGGATGGAGGTTGGTTCCAGTGTAGTTGAGATGGATTCTGAGGCTGTATTGGGGCTCACTAGGAAGAAGTGCTGTGGTCAATTTGCAACGTCTTCCATGAACTGAAGGATGAGAAGGATGGTATACTTGTCATAGAGTTGCCTCCCCAACCCAGGTGCTCTGTAAAGTTCCTCAAAGCTTGAAATGGCTCAGTCTTAAGGTCTCCTGGGATCACACAAAACTCAAGATCTCTCTGTTGATTTGACCTTATTCTAACAGCACCACAGGCATCTCATGGTGAATGCTCCCTTACCCCTTGTCAGTGCCCACCGTGGAGGCCCCTTCGGACCCCCAAATCCTTATAGCCACTGTGACAGGCTCAGCTAAGGCGATCTCCACCAGCTTAGCTCACTGAAAATCAGTCCTATGATCCCCAACTCTCAACCGCCCCACTGGATCCAGCCATACCTGACGTGAAATCTAATTCTAGATTTTTAAGTTATAGGAGCCAACACATTCTCTTTTTTTCCGCTGGGCTTTCATCACTTATAACTCACAGAGTCCTGAGGCACAGAGAACTAAAAAAAGGGTTTGGCTAGTATGACAGTGAGAACATTTGGAACTTTGTTTTTGTTCCCATTTGATCCAGCCAAGGCAAGAGGCCTAGAATGCAGAGAAAAGATGCCAGTTTCTTCAAATGCAGAGACCTGGGAAACACCTGCAAGGGATCCCTGTGATAAGACAGCCTCTGCTTTGGACAAGCAGAGTCTAAAAGGAGGCAAGTTGTCTGGGATATCCTTTTATCCCCCTCAAAGTGTCGTCTCCATGAATGATTTCTCCTTAGCTTCCTGGGACACTGACTCTAGCTTGGTTGAAGTTTGTTTAAAAACCTGGGCATAAATCATAAGCACCCTCGGGAGAGAGCATTAACCACCAACTAGCAACATTAATGTCCCTCCGGCCCACCTCGTCTCCTCCAGTTAAATGGACTGGAACGTCTCCACCTTGTTCCCAGAGGAAACTTCCCTGCTTGTTCTAGAACATTTCAGAAGGTGTCTGCTCTAAGTTTTCACATATCTGCGCGCAGCTCAGCTTCCTGGCCTGGCTCCTCCATGGTGAGGGGAAGGCAGGGACCACGACAGGGAACTAACAGCTCTGGGCGTTTCCGGAGTCTGGCTCTTGGAAGTTTTTTATTTTTGGGGGGGTGGGGGGGGAGCAAATTCTTTTCTCCCCCCACCCCTCACCTCCATTCAGGAACCTGGAAGGCACAACAGCAATGGAAGCCTAGCAAAGGCTTTGATGTCAGACAGACCTGGGGACAAAACCGAGGCTGCCGCATTCTTGCTGTGTCATCGTGGACAAGTTGCTTCACCTCTCTGAGCCTCGGCTTTCCATAAAATGCAAATGATAATACCACCCACTGTGTGGGGCTACCTCTGAGAATCTGACACTCGAGTGCTCGGACAGCCTGACATAGTCCGCGGCGGTTATAGCATCAGTATTCGTGGTTCTCTCCTTTAGATCAGCTTAGACCAGGGCGGGAATGAAGGAGGATGGAGGAGAGAGAGCAATGGAGAGTAAGCAATCTCAGAACTTTGGCATCATTCAGCCTTGGGGGGTCCTGACAGCAAGCCTTGACCACATGCCTGCTCACACTCTGGACACCCAGCCGCCTCATCCTTTCTGAGGTGAGGGATGGCCCTTTCTTCCCCGGGTGGGGAATCCAAGGCTGGCCCTCTGCCCATGTCCCAGAATCTGCCGATAGGGACTGAGCTGTGATGGAAGACTCTGACCACTGAGTCCATGGTACTTTGTCACAGTACCTGAACAGACTAAGGCAATTGTTTTTTCTTTTTTTTTTTAGATATATTTTTTTAATAGACAAAGGCAATTGTTAAACACACTCATTGCTCTGGAAGTTTCTCCTTCAGCACACTTGCCACGACTCTAATTGTGTGATAATTTCTGTAACAAGTTATAGTGTGAAAAATAGGACTGTACTTTCCTCCATGCCTCTCTGGGTAAACACTCCTTCCCCTTCGTCCTCAGATATCCATCCGCTGGGGAAAATGTGTATTCGTATAGAGGAACAAACAGCAGGATCGTGGCAATATTCAGTTGCCACGATCTAATGAAATCAAATTTTGCCACAAAACAGTAGACTTAAAACTCACCACCATGAGAAAACCTTTTTTTTTTTTTCTTAAAGTCCTTTAGGTGCCAACAAACATAGCAAAAGCACAATATTTTCCCAAACCATCAAGAAAATAGAGGTCTCCCTTCACCCACGACCTCAGGGTTGCTACCTAGGGCAGAAGGAGAACATGTGTGGAAGAAGGAAGGACATTCTGTTTCTCCTCTCTTCACTTCCACACAGAGAGCACAGGGGCATAGAGGAGGGTGGTGGTGCAGAGAAGGGATGCAGGGGCTACCTGGGTTCAAATCCCAGCTCTGTCACTTAAGAACTCTTGGACCGGGAGCAAATTATTTCACATCTCTGTGTCCCTGTCTCCACATGCTGTAAAATGGGACTCGAAGAACTTTCTCAGAGAGTTGTTATGAATGTGTGTAAGTGTGTGAAATGCTTAGTGTAGACTCTGGCATTTACAAGCATTCTAAGTATCAGCTACTTCTATTTCATGTTATTATTTATTTATATTGTGTTTGTTTGTTTGTTCAATACAAGGAAAACCTGCTCCAAAGGCAGGGGTTTGCAGTGACCCTCTGGAGACCTGAGGCGGAAGCTGCATTGGGACCACTGCCCACCAGTTTAAGTTGGGGGGACAGTGCAGATGCTCCAGGTTGAAAGGAAACTTTCCCCAATGTTGGACTTTCCCTGGCTACACGGGTTCCTCCCATGGCTGGGATAGGACCCAGGATGTCCCTTTTCATAGGGGGGACCCTGTGTTAGGAGGGGTTGACAGCCCCAGCAGGGTCAGATGCAGTGGAGACAAGGGCTCTGAGCCAGTGAAGAGACAAGTCAGCCAGGCAGGGCTCCGGGCCCAGAGCGTGTGTTTTTCTAGCCGCCAGCTTCAGTCCCAAGTGCCAGAAAGGCCTGTAGTGATCCTGGGCAACAGAATGGCTAGAGACACCGACCCGCTCCACCAGCGAGCCTCGGGTCTCCAGACCCTATGCCACCTTGGCAGGGCTAAGGATGGAGCAGAAGGATATCTGAGACAGAACATTTCCTAAAGAGCTCAAGCACTGGGTCAGATTAAATTGACCAGATTAGACTAAATCGAGTGCTCTTCCTTGTTGCCCTGGGACTAGGGTTTGTGAGAAATCTCAGCTCAGTTACAGGAAATAATGAAGACTTTTTTCCCCCCCTTGCAGAGGCACATGATGCTGTGGGTAAAGATGCAGCCTCAAGGTCCGTCACCAGCATGCGGCTGCTGGGGACAGAACCGCCCCTGTCCGAAATGCACTAGGCGCTGCACAAACACCCCGTGAAGAAGTGAGGGTGCCGTTCACTCCTGACTGGGCAGTGGCGGACCGGCGGCGCGGGTCTGGGACAGGGGAGGGGGTGCTCTTCCCGGCTTCCTCCGGGGAGGGGGGCGGACAGGGCTCCCGCCGCCTGACCTTCGCGCTCTCCTCCTCGGGGCCAGCGGACCCAGCGACTTGCTTTAATAGAAAGTGACGCCACCTCCACCATCGGTGACTCATCCGCGTCCACAGACACCTGCACGCACGCACACCCGCACGCTAGGCACCTGTGCGCATGTGCACACGCACGCACATACGTGCACGCACACGCTCCCGCGCATGCGCACATGCCCCCTCTCGCAGGCACCTTCCCGGCGGGCTCGCTTGGCCAAAGCGACCGGCCATGCCGGAGAAGGGTCCCGTGGTCGGGAACGGAGGGCCACCACCGCAAGAAGTGACTCCTGCACTTCTGAGCGAACCGGGTAGCGGATCCTGCCTCTCAATGTTGAGACGAGTGGAGCCCCACGGACACCTTGCCTTGCCTGTGACAGAGCCCGAAGTAGAGGACCCGGCCGCCGCGCCTCTACCCCGACCTGCCGAAACTGTAAGATCAGAGACCTGTGTTGTTTTAAGGCATTTAGTTGTGGGGACATGTGTCACGCAGCGGCGGATAACTAATCCAGCCCCTTGTTAGCTCTGTGCCCCGACCCAGCTGCTTAAATTCATGTGTGTCCCTCGATCTCGGAAGTGGCATAACTGGTGCACCCCCACCTTCTGGGCTCATTGTGAGGACGGAAAATGAACAAATGAAGGAATGGGACAGCTGGCTGGAGCAGTGAGATCACAGAATCAGGAAATGAAGCCCGAGGGGTCGGGCAGAGAGAGGCTGGGGGGAGTCCTCACTGAGTAGCTGCCACAAGGCCAAGTGCTCTGCCGGGTCCCCCAGGAAGGTCCCTCCCCAATGTGAAGCCCCACCTCTACCCTCACTTTGTCCCAGTGGGTTTCTCCTGGGGACCCAGACCAGTGCTCAGGGGTGCCTGGCTGGCTCTGTCCGTGGAGCCTGCAAATCTTGATCCGGGGGTTGTAAGTTCAGGCTCCACACTGGGTGGAGAGCTCACTTAAAATAAAGGACCAGTGCTCAGATCTGCCTGCGGTCCGGGTGCCCAGCATCTTTTACCCGCCACCTAGCCATCCCCACTCGGGGTTCCGCTGTCCCTCCTTCGTGGACTGTGTTCTCCATGGAGCTGCTGTTGCCCAAAAGCTGGCCAGGCTTGGTGCTGTGGAGACAAACAAGCCGGCAGCCACAGCATCTGATAGCTCTAGAAACTGACCCTCGTGGGACAACCGCAGCCAGCTGGGACGAGTACCATGAGCTGGCCACTGCTCCTGGGCAGTCAGTCCTGAGGGAGATGGGGATTGGGGGTTGGGGCGGCGAGGGTCAGCCTTCAGCCCTCACAGGGTAACAGATGCCTGACTTCAAGTCAGAACAAACTTTCTACTTGGAGGCATGTCCAGCCTTCCCTGCCCCAGGTCTTTCTGATCCCCAAATCTGAGCTGGCCCCGCTGTGATGGCCACCTCTTAACTATCTCCGCAGTTTTAAGGGCCCAGAGATGCACACATCTATCCCCCGTCTCATCTGGGGTTGGAGC